GTTTGTCGCTGGACTCCAATACGGTTGACTACAATTTGACTCTGGACCCAGTGGCTTGAAACCCATGTCGGGCACATATTCGTGTGTGCCCAAGATCCTAGGAGAAGAATGGAAAAGGAGGGACTGCAGCATGGCCATCCCTCCTAGGGAGTTATTTCGCACTTTCCTTCTCACTGTCTGTCTCTGTCTCCAAAGAGCACATGTGCCTCTAAAGATGTTTTTTTTTAAGTTTTTAATTAAGGGACCAGAAGTTGGCATAATGGCTATGTCGCTGGACTCCCAGGTAGTCGACGACAGTTCAAGTCCCAGACCCGGTGGCTTAAACTCACGGTGGGCACGTGTGCATGCATGCCCAAGATCCCAAGAGGAGAATGGAGGAGAAAGGATTGCGGCTTAGCCATGCACCCTGCGGGGTGATTTCTTGAACCTTGTAGTTAAGGGGCCGGCAGGTGGCATGGTGATTAAGGCCGCTGGACTCTCGCTCGCATGGCCAACCATGGTTCAAGTCCAGTACCTGCTTTCTAATCCCCCCCTCTCTCTCTGGTCTAAATAAATAAAGGTAAATAATTCTGTAAAAGAAAAAAAAAACTATTTTCTAGTTAAAAGAAGAGTCCTGAGTCCTGCCTTCTTGAAAGAACCAGGAACGTTTAGCCTGAAAATCAATGTTGAGGGGGGCACCTGATAAGGGGGACACACAGCTGATGGGATGTGTGACCCTGAATTCAGGTCAAAGGGGTACCCGTACATGGGAACCTCAGAGAAGGCGCCCATTTCCCAACCAAAATCTCTTATGCCTGGCCAAATACGCCCACGAGGGTTTCCTTAATTTGCTAACTTGGTGCCACAAGTTAAATATGCCCGAGGGCCTGGGGTAGCAAAAAGGGAGTGCCTTTTCCTTCTCCAAGGCCTGGGACGTAGGAAGAGATTGAGAGGGTAGAGGTGGTGGCTCAGGAAACAGGGCCTGGGATCTTGGGCGCGAAGGGTTGGAACACAAAGCTGCAGGAGGCGGCAGGTGACCCGCCTTACGGTTAGAGGTCGTACAACCTGAGCCTGCTATAGGGGACTTCCCAACCACACAGAGCTGAAGGGCGGTTTGGAGGTGACAATGAGGCTGGACAAAGCAGAACAAGCATGGGGGTGTGCGCGGGGCCGGGTCTCGGCAGCCAAAAGGCAGGTGGAGCATCCAGGCTGATAGTTCGGGTTCCCTAGCACGAGCGCCCAGGCGCCCAACGCCACGTGCCGGGGGGGGGGGCGGGGCGAAGCCGGCGGAGGGGGCGGGGCGGAGCCGCCGGAGGGACAGGAGAGCACGCAGCGGGGGCTCACTCACCTGGGACTTGGGCGGAGGTCCCCGCCAGGACCGAGGTCGCAGTCGGGGTCGGAGCGGCCTCCAGACCTAGTCCGAGGAGCAGCCGCAGCGCCAAGCCCAGGGCCGCTGTCTGCCGCGCTCCGCCCCACGCCATCTAACCGCTAGTCCTGCCGCCTCGCAGCGGCGCCGGCTCCGCGCCGTACAGCCCGGGTTCTTATTTCTGCGCACGCGCACATGCAGGTCAGGGCGGGGCCCACGCACCGGCGCCCGCGGCTGTGGAACCGTAAATATCATAATACGAAGGATATCAAATTTGAGACATTACTCCACTTTGCCCAGTGACGGGGTCTGGCGAAAGGTAAGGGAAACCCGCCTCTTGAAATGGGGAACTTCAGGGAATGTAGGGTGCTTTGTCAGTGTCCACTGACACTATATTATGTTCCAGAAGCATACTGACAAAAATATGACTGCCCGATGGTTCGATTCAATACGGCATCCGCTGCCCTCTGGCGCTCCCGGTCTTCTCACGCCCTCGGCGGCTATTGTGCTCCGGGCAGATTATATATTTACTTTACTTACTTGGTTTATTATCTGATTTCCTACTGGAACACCAGGTCCAGGAGGAGAGGATGCCCTGTTGCTCAGGGCTGGACCCCCAGTGCCCGGCACGTAATAGGCTCTTAATAGTTGGTGACTGAATGAATGAATGATCCAGGTTCTAGCTCCCATCTAAGTCCTTTGTCCCTCCCACCTGGATCTGTCACCCACCCTCGCTGCCTCCTGCAGCTCTCACAGACCCTAGGGAGATGGTTATTTTGCTGACACCTTTCTCCGGGAAAAAAGACCCGCGCAGGCACCTGTGGCAACCCGGCTGCCTTGTTTACTTTCTGAAAACAAGTATTTGTGGGCAGTTCTGCCTTCAGAAGCAGCATGTCCAACTCCTAGCAGGACCCCACACTAGCCACTGCCTCTTAGAGCTAGGGCAGGTGTGCACCACCCCCCCCACACACACACACACACACACACGCACTCAGCTATTCAGTTTCATTTGCAAGTTGACAGCCTGCTTCCGCTGTCGGTGTCTCAGGGGTGTACATACACGTTATTTTTTTTGTTAATAAGCTCTTGGATTGGATTCCCAGGGTGGGAAATGAGAAGCAATGGTGACCAGATAGATAGAACGGGTGGCCAACAGGACTGCAGGGAGAGAGATGGGGTCCTGCCTTGGAGGCTAGGGATCTTGGTGAGGGAGGTGTCTGGAGTCACAGGAGAGACGCCGAGGAAGGAAGCCAAGGGTTTGCAGAGCTGAAACGTATGTAGCAGGCCGACTCTCAGCCTGAGTGAGTTCTTAGTGTTTGCAAGGTGACTTCACAGAATTGCTCCAGGAAGGAGTCGAAACCGTGGATGCAGTGTTCAGAACAACACCTGGCTCCCAGAAACAGCTCAGGTGTCAGACTTCAAGTTGGGGCCATATAACTCTCTTCTGCAGAGACCTTCAAAGCCAGGTTTTACCCAGGATCTCTTGAAATACTCTGAGATAGTCCTCCTATGGCCTCTGTACACCAAAGCCAGCCTTCCTGTCCCTCCTCAATCTTTTGTCCCAACCAGAATCCCACCACTTCCAAGAAATCTTTACCTTTAAGCACTTTTGTTTTTGGGAGAGTTTTTTGCTATAGGGTGCATGCGCTCTCCAGAAAGACAGAGAGAGACAGAGACACAGAAAGTGAGAAATCACGCCCCAGGGGGATGCCCACAATCCATTCTCCATTCTCCTTTCGGGATCTTGGGCACGCACACACACGCGCCTGGTGTGAGTTTAAGCCACCAGGTCCAGGACTCAACTACATGGAAGTCCAGCAACATAGCCATTACGTCAACTGCTGTCCCCCTTTAAGCACTTGGAACACCCACTCTGGGGCACTAGAACCTGCTGGCTAGGACTGTACCCTTTCTCCCGCTCGCTCTAAGCTTGCAAAGGGCAGTCTCAACCCAGCTGGTGACCGAGCAGATCTTCACCTGCTAGAGGGTCACAGGACTGTTCCAAGGGGACCAGTCACCTGCCTGCCCACCTTCTGTCCTGGGCTAATCCTATCTCATCCTCCCCCAGGACCCACTCTACCTTGAGAGGTCTTTCCTGATCTGCCCTCAGTCAGCTGCCCACAGCCAGGGTCAAGCAGGACCCTGAGCAATGGCTGGGAGCTCTCTAGTGATGTCTGTGTGCACTGTGGTCGGCCCTCTCACACCCCCTTCCCATCAGCCTTTGCGATCAAGCCTCTCCAAACATCCAGAGGTCCTGGAACTTAACCTCCGGGATGAGGCTCACCCACCCACCCTCTAGGGTAGGGACGGTGTCGTCTCTTGGGCCCCTCTACTGTGTCACCTGACTGGTGCCTGATGTCCCTGCCACACTGGCAGAGACAGACTACACCAACTTCACCCCCAAAATCCAAGTAAACTGGATGTGGCTCAAAAAGTTAAAAGGGGGCTGAGCCAGCCCCACAGCCTAGCTGCTGTAGGAGGAGGCTCCTACGTGATCAGCTACAGTTCGAATCCCAGCCTCGGTGGCTTGAAAAACACTCCAGGTATGGGCGTGTGTGTGTGTGCGGGCACACACGCGTGCCCAGAATCCTGAGAGAATGGAGAAAAGGAGAAGAGATTGTGGCATGTCCCGCAGCACAGCAGTTCAGCGCTGTGTGGAGGAAGCAGGGCCCCCCATGGCTGACGATGATCTAAATGCCAATCCTAGCTTGGCGGCTTGAAAAACACGCCAGAGAGGTTAGCTAGAGCCCAGAGGACTACCAGGAAGTAGCCTGGAGGGACAGGGAGGGCGAGCTGGTGGACTGGTGGATAAAGGGGCCGGATCCCATACGGCCAACTGCACAGCTGGAGTCTAAGACCCAGCCGCTTGAAAAACACACCCGAGAGGTAAGCCCAAGCCCAGGGGCCTGCTGGGAAGTAACATGGAAGAGAAGAGAGGGCGGCTCGTGGCATGGTGGTTAAGGGGGCTGAAACCCACATGGCCAACTGCACAGTTGGAGTCCTGGACCCGGTGGCTTGAAAAACAAGCCAGGGATAAATGCGTGCATGTCCAGAATCCTGAGAACAGAGAAGGGACTGCAGCGTGGTCATCCCTCCTGTGGGGTGCTTTCTCACTCTCTCCAGTGAGTACATGTGCCCTATAGTAAAAATTGGGGGGGGGGGGGGAAGAAGGGATTGCCTTGTGACCAGGCCCCATGGGCGGGTTCTCTCTTTAGCACATGCATGTGTGTGTGCCCTGTGCATGGAAAAACACCAATACTGGAACCAGCAGATGGAGTAATGGCTATGTCGCTGGACTCCCACATAGTCCACTGCGGTCTGAGTCCCAGACCCGGCGACTTAAACACATGCCAGGCGTGCCTGCGTGCCCAGGATCCCGAGAGGAGAATGGAGAAGGGATTATGGTGTGGCCATCCCCCCACAATTTCTCGTTTTCTGTCTCTCTGTCTTTCCAGCAGGTGCATAAAATCAATACTAAGGGCCAGCACTGTGGCTTGATGGTTAAGGGAGCCCTGTCCCACATGACCAACTGTGCGGTTTGAGTCCTGGCCTGGCAGCATGGAAAACACTGGGCATGAAATCCCGACAGGGGGATAAATCAGGGAGGGTTGGGGTGCAACCACACCCACTTGCAATGCTTTCTCTCTTTGTCTCTCTCTAGTGAGCACATATGCCCTCTGGCAATGAAAAAAATTAAGTAGGGTAATGGCTATGTCACTGGACTCCCATGTAGCCGACCAGGGTTTGAGTCCTAGACCCGGTGACTTAAACTCACGCCGGGCGCGTGTGCGTGCGTGCCCAAGATCCCGAGAGGAGAATGGAGGAGAAGGGATTGCGACGTGGCCATCCCCTCTAGGGAGTGATTTCTCACTTTCTGTCTCTGTCTTTCTGGCGACTGCATATGCCCTATAGCAAAAACCGCTCAAAGAAACATTACGTAAATAAGAGATGCTAGATCTGTATGAAAGATCAAGGGTTCGATCCCCTGGCCCACCTGTACATTCCAAGTGCACACCCATGATCCTCATTGGCTACAGAATCTAGGGGTGGGAAACTTCAGCTTGGGACCCTATTGAGGGTGCCTGTCTCTCTCGTGAAAGAAACAAATAAACTTAAAAAAGAAAAAAGTAAAACTGGGGCCAGCATGTCACATGGTGGTTAAGGCACTGAGCTCCCACATGGCAGACTGTGGTTCAAGTCCTGGACTTGGTATCTTGCTTTCTCACTTTCCCTTTCTTTTTTTTTTCTCTCTCTCTGATGAGCGCATGTGCCCTGTATCAAACTTAAAAGAAATAATAATATACGTAACTAAAATAGGTTAATTTAAAAAATACAGTTGAGTCAAATAAATAAATAAAACGTATAATACACCACCATTTGTGTAAGAATACCTGAGTAAAAGTGAAACGGAAAGTGACTCCGACGTTTTGTTATATTTATCATAAATTAGGTTGAGTCCTCTCCAGAGGGAATCCACGGAGGCACAGCAGCCAGGAGGCCCTGAGGGCACGGCCAGGTCCCCAGGCAGAGAGTCACAGGTACGGCTGGTCCTGGGACAGCTCCCACCTCTTCATGGGAGGAGCTGGTGTCACCGCCTTCTTCTCAGCGGCTGCGGCGGGTGAGCTGGAGGACGGAGACAGACTCCGGTGAGGGCCAGGCTTCCAGAGAACAGAGCGAGGGGTGTCTGGGAACCCCTGAAGTGGTCAGCTGACTCTTGCTGGGAGCTGGCCAGCCTCCCCCGATCCCAAGCCCCAGGTGAAGCCCTGCTCACCCCGTTCTGGCTCCTGGCTCCAGAACTAAGCAGGCTCCCCACTTCCCCATTTTGGCCCCCAGGGAAGATGACCTGCATCGATCGCTACTACCCCAAAACAGGGTACTGCAGAGAGACCCAGGCCACTGGGCAGTGCCCGTCTGTGCACACCTGCCCCTGGGATCTGCTCAGCGCCTCAGCAGACTTTGTGGAGAGAAGGAGATTCCTCATGCACATATGCATTCTCTCAGGAATAAAGAAAAAAACTGGGGCGTCGGCAGATGGCGTGGTGGTTAAGGGCATTGGACTCCTACATGGCTGACTGCGGTTCCAGTCCCAGACCTGGTGGCGTGCTGCTTTCTCAATTCCCCTCCCCCCCACTCTGGTCAAATTAAAATAAAGTTAAATTATTCTTTTAAAAAAGAAAAAAATGGGAGGGGCCAGCAGATAGCATGGAGGTTAAGGCAGCTGGATCCCATGGTGGTTGAAAACACGCACCAGGGGGGCCGGCAGGTGGTGTGGTGGTTAAGGGCGCTGGACTCCTACATGGCTGACTGCAGTTTGAGTCCTGGACTTGGCAGCTTGCCTTCTCACTTTCTCTCTCTCTCTCTGGTCAAATTGGAATAAATAAATAAATTAAATTAAAAAATTCTTAAAAGAAAAAAAAAGGAAAAGAAAAAGAAAAAGACACCAGGTAGGTGTGTGCACGTGCCCCAAACCCCAAGAGAATGGAGGAGAAAGGACCGCAGCATGGCCGTCCCCCTCGGGGGTGCTTTCTTATTTTCTCTTTCTGTCTCTCTCCGGCGAGCACGCACACCCTCTGGTAGACAAAGAACAAATTTAAAGAATACAAAAATACGGGCCAGTCCACGGCCTGGAGCCCACATGGCCAATCTAGCAATTGGAGTCGCGGATGCACAGCGTGGAAGATCACCCTGGGCGTGCATGCCTGCGTGCCCGACATCCCAGAAGAAACGGAGAAAGGACTGAAGTATGGGGGCACTTTCTCCCTCTTTCTATCGCTCTCGGGGAACCTCACATGTCCTCTGGCAAATTAAAAAAAGAATAAAAAAAATGACAAAACAGTAACACGTGGGCTTCCCGCATGACCTTCCAAGCGCCCCTGGAACTTGGTCTGCCTTGAAGGACACCTGCCCAGCCTTGGCCCTTACTCCCTCCCTGGGAGGGGTCAGACTGTGATGGGCAGTTAGTCAGCCATGAGCGGATAGCCCTAAGAGAAAAGCGAAAGGCTCTTCTAGCTCCGGGCGCCAGGAGGGCGAGGCAACTTGCCATCTTCCTTCCTTGAGGCCTGAGGGAAGTACACAGGGATGATTCGTAGAGTTTTCTTTTATCAAAAAGACCTAAGCAAGAGTCTTGGTCAATGCTCTAATTCCCATTAGGGATATGGACTAATTGGGCAGTCTAATTGGGGCAACCTGGCTCACACTGGGCACCATACGCAATTAGGTGATCAAGTTCCTCATTCTTTACCTGTGAGGAAGGTGCGCAGGTGCAAAACGGAACGTGAGGATTCAAAGGAAGGACAGAGGCAGCGTAAGGGGCCTCCCACTAATGAATATTCATGACCTCTAGTAATAAAATAACGGTTAACTAGTACCAAGTGCGGTTGCCACCTGCTAACCTGCCCGTCCAAGAACCATTTTGGGGGTACTTTCTTTCCTTTCCTTTCTTTTCTATTAAATCTTCTTTTCCACCTACTTCATTCATGGTTGCAGTTTCATTTTGTGCTAGGGACAGATCTCTAATTTTAGTGATCTGGACCCAAAGTACCAAGGACTTCACAAGGCAGCTCAACACTCTCCCATCCGCTAACAAGATGAGAGTCCTTGGAGGTGAAGTTCCCGCAGCACCACTTCTAAAGGCTGCTGCTTGACACACGGGATCTTGAAAAGCACCCTTTCCTCAAGCTGTGGAAAGAAGGCCAGTGCAGGGACCATCAGATGGAGTGAGGTTATGTCGCTGGACTCCCACGAAGTCAACCTCGGTTTGAATCTCGGACCTGGTGACTTTCAGTCACGGGGCGCGTGTGCGTGCGTGCCCAAGATCCCAAGATCAGAATGGAGGAGAAGGCATTGCGGCGTGGCCATCCCCCTGGGGGTGATTTTTTGCTTTCTGTCTATCTCTCTCTGGCAAGCACACGTGCCGCATAGCAAAAATCTCTCTAAAAACAAGACAAAAACAAAAACAGGCGGGGTGTCGTAGGAGCCCGGGGCAGGGGGCACTGGGAGCGCTCACCTCTCCGCTGTCTTGCCCGACACCAGCGCCTTCTGGGAGGACATGATGATGGAGGGGGGAGTGGAGTCCCGGCGGCCATCGCGAGTGCAGTAGTAATTGTTGGCGAGCTTGTGGCTGGGGCCCACAGGGAGCTTGGGAGGCGGCTGAGTCCTGCGGAGAAAGCACATTGATGATGAAGCAGTATGCCCGTTGCTCTCACTGCCCTGCTGTGGGTCCCCTTAATCCCAAGACTGGGGGTCCGTGGACAGTGGAATGGATTGCAGGTCAAGGGAATCCCTTGGTACACTTCCCGGATGTGTGCCCAGAGAGGGGGCCGGGGCCCAGAAGCAGGGACAACTCCTATTCTACATGTGAGGGTGCTACAAGGTTAGAGTGGGGTCTGCCACACACCCTCTGCCCCAGATGGACTTTTTTTTCCCTCTTGCCAGAAAGTACATGCATTCCTGGGGCCTGCAGGTGGCATGGTGGTTAAGGGCGCTGGACTCCCACGTGGCCAACCATGGTTCAGGTCCCAGACCTGGCAGCTTACTTTCTCACTTTCTCTCTTTCTCTCTGTCCCTCTCTGGCCAAATTAAAATAAATGAATAAAGTTAAATAAAATAATTCTTTAAAAAAAAAAAAGAATTTGCTTAAGGAAAGGAGATGATCTTCCATATAGGTGGTCACAGAGCTTTCTGAACTCCAGCACAGAAAATTTTAAACCCGCGTCAATGGGAAGGCCCAAATGCATCCCGAGAGGGCACTGTTCTAAAGAAGTTGAAAATGTTGAGACCAGCAGTTAGTATAATGGCTATGTTGCTGAACTCCCATGTAGCTGACTGCAGTTCGAGTCCCAGATCTGGTGGCCTAAACTCATGCCGGGCGTGTGTGCATGCATGCCCAAGATCCCGAGAGGAGAATGGAGAAGGGACTGCGGCATGGTCATCCTCCCTGGAGGGTGATTTCTCGCTATCTCTCTGTCTCTCTCTGTCTTTCTGGCAAGCACACGTGCTCTATAGCAAAAACTTCTCCAAAAGAAAAAAAAAGAAGTTCAAAATGTTACAGAGCCGGTTCCTCCAATGGCCTACCTAGCAAGGGCCATGATAGAAAAACAATTCAATACTTTTGCTATTTGGAGTTAGTCCATGCTGCCATTTATATAAACTTGGTCCTTTTAATATTATTTATCTTTCTTTCACAACTACTTCAATGACCACCTCACCTCTGACTGCTGCTGGGAATTAATATGCCTGGGTCTCCTTTCCTGTAGAGTTCCAGCCTCTCTGGTCTCCTTCCTACTTCAGGCTCTGTACAACCTCCCAGTCCTGACGCTTATGCTCTCTCTGTCCACAATGTTTTAATTTGGCTAAACAGCACGTTTTCTCACCACAGAGACAGAAATCAAGAAAGCACCCACCACATGGGAGATGGCCATGCAGCCACCTCTTCTCCTCCATCACTTACTTCTTTCAGGATTTTGGGCAGGCACACGCACACATACACACCCCAAGCCACTGGGTCTGGGACTTGAACCACACAGTCAGCCAAGCGGGATCCACCTGCCTTAAACACCACGCCACAGTTGGGCCTCCCCCAGTGTTTTTTTTTTTCAATAATTACCCTTTGACGGGTTCTTTCCCACCAATAAGGTGACTCAAATTGTTCATCCAAGAAAAGAGACCTTTCCTGAACACCTGCTGTTTTGTTTTCAAGACATTCGAGAACATTACCTGCCCTGTTATTTCCCATCTTTTCCCCTATGGTGTGCACTCATGAAAGGAATGCAAATAACAGGACCAGCAGATGATGTAATGGTTAAGTCATTGGACTCCCGCGTAGTTGATTGTGGTTCAAGTCTTGGACCTGGTGACTTAAAACTCAGGCCAGGCATGCATGCGTGCATGCCCAAGATCTTAAGAGAATGGAAGAGAAGGGACTGCAGCGTGGCCATCCCCCCTGGGGGGGTCATTTCTTGCTTTCCGTTTCTCTGTCTCTCTGGTGAGTACACATACCCTATAGTAAAAATGTCTCCCTCTCAAAAAAAAAAAAATGTAAATAAGAACGTTCCTTGTTCATACTAACATCTCCAAAGCTGAAGACAGCTCCAGGATGGAGATGTTTGGACACAAGTGAATCTGAAATCAAGATACCGCTGGGCACCAATCCTAGCTGTCGCTTTTTTGCTTCTGAGTAACTTTAGGCAAATGATCCAGCTTCTCTGTGCCTTTTCCTCTTTTCTTTATTATTATTATTTTTTGTATCCGCAGCTTTGGGTAACAACACCGACTGGCAGGGCCATACGAGGACGGCGAATGTACCCCTGCCTCCCACTCAAAATGCACCCTCAGCCTGGCAAGGGGCTGGAGATAGGTCTAACGGAATGCGGATTGTTTGGGGGGGAGACTGGAGGCTGAGACAGCGAACGGGGCCGGCTCACCGCTTGGCGATCTCCTGGTAGCGCAGCTGTAGCTTCGCCTGCAGGTTTTGCTGTGGGAGGAGAAGGGAGGTCAGGCTGCAGGACACCCCAAGGGAAGAGAGGGCAAGGGGACAGGAATGGGCCAGGACAGGACGAACACATGAACGGAAGGCACGGGACGGGTAGTTGGCGATAGAGATACGGGCCCTGCAGATGCAAAGGAAAGACGGGGTCCGGAGACAGAGGATCCAAGGATAAGGAGGTTGGGGGTTCTTGGAGATCCCAGGTCCTAACAGGTCTCCCGCAGAGAGAGGGTCAGGGGCTGAGGTGGGAACAGGTGCATCCCGGGTCGAAAGGGTCACGATTCCGGGGGCCCCGGAGAGATCTTGGGCGGAACAAGGACTCGCGGCTTAGGGGAGAGGTGGGGAGCGGGAGCGGGGCTAGGCGCACACGGAGTCTACAGCCCCCCAGCGCGGCCCTGCCCGCCCCGCGCACCCCGGAAGCCCAATTCCGGAGCAACTGGATGATGCGAGTGGCGGACGCCATCTTGAACCCGCGCTGAAGGACGCCAGTGACGTGTCTGCCGCGGGGGCTGCTGGGAAGGGCCCGACGTGCGCGGTGGCGTGAGTGGGCGGAGCCAGAGCGTCCTATAAAGCCTGTCGGCGAAGCACGTGACTCCTCTCCGCCCGACAGCCGCCGCCGCGCCGCCATCATGGACACGAGTCGTGTGCAGCCCATCAAATTGGCCAGGGTGAGCCGGCAGCCCGGATTTAGGGGCCGGGGTACGGAGGGAGAGGGAAGAGGAACCGGGTGGGCCAGGTCTGACCTCGGTTTTTATCTTCCGCAGGTCACCAAAGTGCTGGGCAGGACTGGCTCTCAGGGACAGTGTACGCAGGTGAGCGAGTGGGTCCGATCCTCACGGTGACCCCTCCATGCCCAGCTGCTGCCAGTTCGAATCCGAGAACTAGAACCAGGGCTCTCGGGGGATTCCAGCCTCTCACCAATGTTTTGCCAACCGGGTCCGAGCTCTGTCCGACTCATTCCCCGCGCCTTCACGTCCCCATTGTCTCTGCCTCGGCCCCGACAGGGGCCTCTGAATCCACTTCTCCCTACCCCGCAGTTCCCGTCTGACCTGCCCTGATTCTTTCCCGTCCTCCCGGCGGGCCCGTAGGTGCGCGTGGAATTTATGGACGACACCAGCCGCTCCATTATCCGTAACGTGAAAGGCCCAGTGCGCGAGGGCGACGTGCTCACTCTCTTAGAGTCCGAAAGAGAAGCTCGGAGGCTGCGCTGAGTTTTGTGCCGGTGGGTGCAGAGTGGAGGACCCCGGTGGGAGGGGAGTATTCTGTGCTTATGGGTGGGAAGGTCTTGGGAGATGGAAGGGGTCTGCAAAAGCTGGCGAGAGGGAGGAGGGAGTTTGCCGGTTGCTATGGTGACGGGAGGTGTCAGCCTCTCATGCCCGGGTCTGTTTACAGGGTCCTGGATGTCTGGGATGACAGTTTGGCCCAAGGGGATGATCTGCAAAGTTAAACAAAGTGTATTGTATGTAAATTGTGATTTTTGTGTGGGTCATCTGATTCGGATTTTACTAGGCTGGCTTCCTGTGGGGCATCCAGGTGGTAGTTGACCCTCTGCTCTGAAGAAGGGGAAGGACTCCCTCCATCCCCCAGAGGTTTCTTCAAGGAAAGGGACTTTGTAGTCCCTTCCTGTCTGTGTATATAGTCCCCATCAGCTCCCAGACAAAACGCAAACTTAACAGGGTTGTTTTATTTGGAAAGCGGTTTCAGGAGTGGGCCAACCCAGGACATCACTGCTCAGTCCCTGCCTCACCATGGTGGACCACGGTGAGCCCTCCCCTGACATCGGGCCAGGGCTGGCATATGGACAGAAGACCCTGGCCCCTGCTGTGCCCAGAGGCCAAGGAGGGTGCGGAAATGGGTTTCCTGCGTCCAGGTCCAGTGCACCAGGCAGCTCACTGAGGCTGGGCATCCCCTCCGTTGTCACTGTCTTCAGCACCACCAGGCAAGACTGTGGGCAAGTGGGTCCGATCGGGGGGTGTCTGGCTCTAGAGAGAGGAAGGGAGGAGGTCCCGCTGTAGTCTCCTGTGGGCAGGAACTGGAGGGTTTGCCCCCCGCCTTGGCTCGAGGATGGTTTAAGCTGGTGGAGGGTTTGTCTAACATGGTCGTTTTTACTATAGGATATGTGTACTCGCCAGAGAGACAGAGAGATACAGAGACAAAAGCGAAAAATCACTCCCCGGGGGCATGGCCACGCTGCAGTCCCTCGTCCTCTTGGGGTGTCAGGCATACACACACACATGCCCAGTGTGATTTTTAAGCCACCAGGTTCCAGGACTTGAACTGTAGAGCTGGCTAGGTGGGATCCAGCTGCCTTACCCTCCACGCCACCTGCTGGCCCCCAACATGGCATTACGCGTTAGTGTGGGATCAGGCTTCCTGGGGTAAGTGGCACCTCTGCTGTTGGAATCTGCAGTGACCGAGTCCAGCTGTGGGCTGGCCGGGGAGTTTAGTGTTACACAGCTGAGGACAGGCTGTCGCTTGCCACTTGGACATAAGCCTGTACCCTTAGAGGCACACCCTGCGTGTCCTCCCAGCCCTGCCTCCGATCCTGAAGTCCAGCTTCCCCCTCCTCCCCGACCCTGCCTAATGTCATAGTGCTCCTTTTTCTGCTGCAGTCCCCGGGTGCAGGCAGCAGGAGCCTGGTGACACGTGGAAGGCCTGACCTAGGTCTCAGGTCTGCTCTGTGACCTTAGCCAGGTCACTCTCTTGAGGCCGCAGACTCGTGACCTGGGTTGGAAGAGGTGTGTCCACGTCACAAGTGTTTTGCAGGTTAAGTTGTCACATCGCCACCGCTAGGAAAACTGAACACAGGTCCCAACCCCCAGGGTAGCAGGCCAAGGGCTGGGCATGCTCAGTACCCTCCTGAAGCCAGTTTGTAGCTGGGAGATTGAGCTTCGTGGGACCACGCTCACCTGGACGTCAGGCTGGCCCGAGCTCAGGTGGGCATGCAGCAGGGTGGCCACTTCATCCTGCTCAGCCTCCAGGGCGATGGCCAGGGCACTGGTGCCCTCCTGGTGAACGTGAGGGGTGCTCAGGTGCCTGAGCCCAGCCTGGGGCACCCCCACACCCCCCCCAGGCCGGTGGCTTACGTTGTCCAGGATGGCAGGGTCGCAGCCTGGCTGGGCCAGCAGCAGGCGCACGGTGTCCAGGCGCCCGTACTCACTGGCACACATCAGAGCTGTGGCCCCATCCGCATCCTGCACGTTCACATCGGCCCCGCAGGCCAGCAGAGCGGCCACCATGTCCTGGCGGCCGTGGCTGATGGCCAGCATGAGGGCCGTCTGCCCTGTCTGGGACAAGGGAGGACGGGGTCAGCGACCGGGGTTGCCTCCTGGAGCGGAAGTGACGGCCCCTGGGCTCAGCCCCAGTGGGGCAGCTGCATACCTGGCTGGCCTTGGCGTTGACGTCGCCCATGTGAAATAGTCTCTGGACCACAGCCAGGTCCTCCTGGCCCACGGAGGTGAGCGCGGCCAGCATCGGGGCCGAGTAGCCCGCTCGGTTCTGGTGGTTCACCTCGCACACACCTGGGCAAGAGCGGGCTCCTCAGCCAGGTGGCCAGCACCCCAAATCCCACCTGGTCCACTCGGCTCCCTCCAAGCCCCCGCACACAGGTACATAAAGGGAGTGGGGAGGGGTCTCCATGGATCCCGGGGCTCGGTTCTCACGTCGGCTGTGCTTGCCTTGACTCCCTGATTCAAACTAGGAGGGGACTGGGTTTGGTCAATTCCTGGCATGTAGCATAGGTGCTTAGTCAGACCTTTGCTAAGGGAACGGGATATGATCCCAGTCACGTAATTAGAAGACAGGGCTGTGGGGGACCAGCAGTTGGCGTAATGGCTATGTCGCTGGACTCCCATGTAGTTGACCGCGGTTCAAATACTGGGCCCGGTGGCTTAAACTCAAACTGGGCATGTGTGCATGCATGCCCAACATCCCGAGAGGAGACTGGAGGAGAAGGGATTGCGGTGTGGCCATCCCCCCTGGGGGGTGATTTCTTGTGCACACGCCCCATAGCAAAAACCTCTCCAAAAACAAAACTGGCGCGTGTGCATACGTGCCCAAAATCGTGAGGAGAATGGAGGACAAGGGATTGCAGCATGGCCATCCCCCTTGGAGGATGATTTCTTGCTTTCTGTCTCTCCAGCAAGTGCACACACCCTATAGCAAAAATTAAAAAATAAGATCTCATATGATTAACCACATGGTTCAATGTAGCTTGAGGAAAAGCCAGGAAATGAATCTAGCAAGTTGCATGGTGATTAGGGACGTTGGGCTCCCACATGGCCAAAAGCGGTTCCAGTCCTGGACCTGGCGGCTTGCTCTCTCACTTTCTCTCTCTCGTTCTGTCTGTCTCTGGTCAAATGAAATAATTTTTTTTTTTTAAAGCTAGGCACTCTGCATGCATGCCCAAACATCCCAAAAGAAGGGAGAGACCAGGAGAAGCGTTTGAGATACTTTTTCCCTCTTTCTCTGTCTCCAGCTAGGGCATGCACCCTCCAGCAAACATAAATAGGGCCAGCAGGTGGCGTAGTGGTTAAGGCGCTGGACACTCGCACGTAGCCAACCACTATTGGAGTCCTGGACCTGGTGACTTGCTTTCTCACTTTCCCTCTCTGTCTCTGGTCAAATTAAAATAAATGAGTAAATACATAAAATTAAACAATTCTTTCAAAATAAATAGACAGCTGGGGGCATCGTGGTTAAGGTACTGCACTCCCACGTGGCCAACTGGTTTGAGTCCCAGATGTGTCAGCCTGAAAATCACACCAGGAATTGTGTGCCCAAACTCTCAAGAGAATGGAGAAGGGACTGCAGCATAGCCAACCACCTGGGGGGTGATTTCTTGCTTTCTCTCTGTCTCTGGTGAGCACACGTGCCCTATAGCAAAAGTCTCAGAAAATACTAAATAAATAAACGTGTGTGTACTCAGTAACATCCAGGTGTGCGCTTCTCTATTTCAGAGCGGGGGGAATTAAAGAAGGGGGACAGGCAAGCAGGAAGTTGTGAAATGGAGCCAATGTGCAGCCTGGTGCTCCAGCCTGGGAGGGTGGTCAGAACCCTAGCTGGTGTGTGCCTCCCTAGCTGGTGTGAGGCCAGACGTTAGGGCTTGGGACCTGGTGAGGGTCAGGACAGGAGTGGCCAGCAACTTGCCTGGCCCTACTTTGCACATGTCATCACAACTGCCCAGGGAGGGAGGCATGGCCATTCTCTTGTCACTGAGAGATTAAGAATGCCCCCAAATGAGGTCCGTCTGACCCCAGAGCCCGGTATTCCTCCCCCTGCAAAGTGGAGGAGCTTTAGGGCAGAGGAGTTGGCCGGGAGGGTCCCTGGTTGGACCAAATGGCCCTCGCCATGGCGCCCCCTGCCGGCCAGCCCTTCTCTGCATCCGTCCGGGTCTGCCCCGGCCTCCCCTCCTGGGCTCTGACCCGTGTCCAGCAGCAGGCTCGAGATGGCCAGGTTCCCGTGGGACACGCTGTAGTGCAGGGCGGTGTTCCCGTTGCCGTCCGCCAGGTTCACCACGTGTGCCAGCAGCTCGGGGCCCAGCTGCGCCACCCCTCTGAGCATCGCGGCCACCAGCTCGGCCTGAGAGCGCCGTTGGCTTGACACACGAAACCACTCCTGAGCCACCAGGCGCGCTGCGCCCTGGCGGGACAGGGACAAAGGGTCAGCGATGGTCCAGGAGTGCGGTGGCAGACATGGCGCGGGGCTGAGGCTGGGAGCACGCCTTTGGCCGCCCAGGCAGGGAAGGAAGAAGCTCACTCCACTACTCATGGTGTGAGGACCCATGGGAGCCAGGGCGCGGGAGCCGGGGCGGTCAGTGGGGGCCAGATTCCAGGGTACGGGGGTCCTTTCCTTCTGGGAAGAATCTGGGGGACCCGGAGCGAGCAGGTGGGGAGTGTTTGCCCTCGGAGAGTCCGGGAGTGGGGCTGGAGCTTGGATCAGTGCTGGGGGTGGGCTGCTTTTGAGGAATCAGATCTGAGTGGTGTCCGGGGCAGGGGGCATGGATCGTTTTGGAGGGCCGGGGGCCAGAGGTCCTTGGGGAGAGCGGACTGAACTCCAGGAAATACGGCGTGCTCCCCTGAGGGCGCCAGGGGCCGCACACTCACGCCGTCGCGGGCGACTCCGCGGGGTCGGCTCAGCTGCCTCTGCAGCGCGGTGCACGCCTCCCTCAACCGCGGGCTCAGCTCGCTCCTGCGGACCAGGCGGGGTGAGGCTCAGGAGGGATGGGGGCAGCGGCGGCCGTCCTCACAT